GGACTGGCCTAGGGGAAAGTTTTTAATGGGGGTTTTAAAGTAATTTTAAATAAATTAGACCAATTATTAATATTTGTTTTTAATTATGTTTTAATCTGTAGTTTTGGGATTTGCATTTTTATCTGGTTGTTAGCCGCCCTGAGTCCGCAAGGAGAAGGGCGGGATATAAATATAAACAATAAATAAATAAATAAATAAATCAATTATTTTCTATGGAGTATACAATTGTCTGAGTTCTAATCTCAGTGTTCAATTTCCCTTTTCTCCCCATGTAATTTTTAATATCATCCAACATTCAACAGGGTCTCACTTTCTTAGACAAGTAGCAAGAAGAGTTCAGCAGTCACCAGTTCAGGTACAATGTTAACCAGATTTTTTCAGCTTAGAATCTGGGACAAATATTGGAGTTAGAACTCAAACAAATTCTAGTCAGCATGATTTAAGTCTATGCTAAATTATAGTTTAGAGCTACGTATACTAGCTTGAAACCCTGTATTCCTTTCACATCCTCTAGTACAGCTGCAAAGGTAATATTGGAAGCTTTCATTTCTTTGAGCATTAATTGAAGAGTACAAATCCAAACATTTAGAAAATGATTTGTTTTTCTGGGATGTGTATAAACCAATGTCATAAACCAAGCATGAAAGTATACATGTTTTAGTTATCCATAGTTAAGAGTAACCATAGTTTATCCAGCTTTAAACATACCAGTACACTGTAGTCCAGGGGTGTCAAACTGCCGGCCCACGGGCAGATGCGTCATCCGGAAGCCGTGCCCGCCCCATTGCCAGCAATGGCAAAACTCTCCCAATACGTTGTGCGATGTCATGTGACGTCGCGAGTTTGACATGTCTGCTGTAGTCAGTTAAAATTAGAAGCCATGATAGTAAAACAGAAGGAAGGGGAAACTAAAACACTTTTTCTTAAAATAAAAACATTACATGTCCAGTTGTGCCTCCCTTTATTTTTTTAATTGATTTGATTTAATAAAAAATGCAGTGCCAAGCAATATAAGAAGATCATGGGATATTATCTATTATACATTAAAAGTAAATCTCTTTATAATCAGTAAAAAAAGGCATATTTAAAATCAGAGACTATAACTAGCAAAGTGAGATAAGAGTACTGTTACAAAATATCTAATGAATGTTACAATTATAATAAATGCATCAAAATGCTATTGTGCTTTGAAGGTGGGTTAATGTTTTGGAATGAACTTCCCAAAAGTAAGAATCAATAATGCAAGATCCCCCAGATATTAATGAGAGAATTCTATTGCTTTGTGTTCACACTTTCTACAGTTGTTTGTATGGTGAATGTTTTATAAAGATATGTTTTCCTGCATATCTTTTTCAGTTTGAAGGGAGAAAATATTGTGAGCATGACTTCCAGATGCTATTTGCACCATGCTGTGGGGAATGTGGTAAGTTTTCCACATAAATGATTCAAATCTAATTTTGTCTGTTTATTAATAATATTTGTAAACCATCTAATTATGAGATCCTGGCTGTTCTATAACCATTAACTTATTAAGGGGAGGCAGTAGAGAGCAAATTAAGAAGAAAGTATTGTAATTTTTTGATAACTTCACTGGTCATAGGTAAGAACAAAAGTCATACATGGAAAATTATACATTTTGTTTTAAAGAAAATCCTGACATTCAGAACTTTATAGTCTTTGTGGTTCAGTGAAATAGATATTAGTTCTGTATCTAACAAACCTGGATTTGTCTCAGAGGCCTTGAGCAGGTTTGTCTTACTCTTAGATTTCTCATTACTGTAATAAAGCAGATTACAAAATGCTTTCAAAACTTTTTGCTACTTAACTACTACTATAGAATGCTAAGGAGCAGGGATTCTTCTGAATTGAAATAAAGTTATGAAGTATGGTGTTTCTGTTTCAAGGTGAATTCATCATTGGCCGAGTCATCAAAGCAATGAACAATAATTGGCATCCTGAATGCTTTTGTTGTGAACTCTGTGATGTGGTTCTTGCTGATTTGGGTTTTGTGAAGAACGCTGGCAGGTAAGAATAGATAGAACGATGTCTGTATTTTATATGTTAAATGTTAGCAGTTGATGAGATAGGCACAGAAGGTAGATATGAAGTTGAATGCATTATATAAACTAGTGATAAGTTATGGAAAGGAAGGTATGTCTCCAAAAAGTCTGGAGAACGAATGCATTGGTAGCCATTTTCAAAATGGTAATTCTTTTAGACAAAATGCTAGGAAGTAGCTAAGTGTCTGTATAAATACAGTTATATTAAGATGGACAATACTTACCAACAATGTTGTTGGATAGACAGAATTTTATTTATTTATTTATTATTTATTTATTTATTAATCACATTTATATCCCGCCCTTCTCCTAGTGGACTCAGGGCGGCTTACAGCCAGTTTAAAACGAAATAACAATACAATATACAAATTTAAAATGTGGTTAAAATAAAATATTAATATAGGCCTTTCTTTTTTAAAATTATTTAAAAACCAAATTTAAAAAACCCCTTAGGCCAGTCCTGCCAGCTGAAATAACCATGTCTTGAGGGCGCGGCGGAAGGAGGGGAGATCCGGAATCACCCGGATCTCTGGGGGTAGTTCGTTCCAGAGGGTGGGGGCTCCGACAGAGAAGGCTCTCCCCCTGGGGGTCGCCAACCGACACTGTCTGGTTGACGGCACCCTGAGGAGACCCTCTCTGTGGGAGCGTATCGGCCGGTGAGAGGTAATCTGTGGCAGAAGGCGGTCTCGGAGGTAACCAGGTCCGATGCCATGGCGCGCTTTAAAGATGATAATCAACACCTTGAAGCGCACCCGGAAGGCCANAAAATGGAGTTTTATTTTTTATTAATGTAACTTAATTTAGTGGCTACACTTTGTATTTAGAAGAGGTATTTTTCATTTTTCTCTTTTGCTTCTCAGTAATATGTCAGATGCCCTTGCGAATGCTGTTTGTGAACGCTGTCGAGCCCGTTTTGATCCCACTGAACGAATTGTAAACAGCAATGGAGAACTGTATCATGAAAACTGCTTTGTCTGTGCTCAGTGCTTTCGTCAGTTTCCAGATGGCCTCTTTTATGATGTGAGATTATTACACTTTTAATAGTTTGGAAAGTTACTTAGTTTTTTCCCTTCCAGACTGAGAAGCCTAACTCAATTATTTTCTATGGAGTATACAATTGTCTGAGTTCTAATCTCAGTGTTCCATTTCCCTTTTCTCCCCATGTAATTTTTAATATCATCCAACATTCAACAGGGTCTCACTTTCTTAGACAAGTAGCAAGAAGAGTTCAGCAGTCACCAGTTCAGGTACAATGTTAACCAGATTTTTTCAGCTTAGAATCTGGGACAAATATTGGAGTTAGAACTCAAAAAAATTCTAGTCAGCATGATTTAAGTCTATGCTAAATTATAGTTTAGAGCTACGTATACTAGCTTGAAACCCTGTATTCCTTTCACATCCTCTAGTACAGCTGCAAAGGTAATATTGGAAGCTTTCATTTCTTTGAGCATTAATTGAAGAGTACAAATCCAAACATTTAGAAAATGATTTGTTTTTCTGGGATGTGTATAAACCAATGTCATAAACCAAGCATGAAAGTATACATGTTTCAGTTATCCATAGTTAAGAGTAACCATAGTTTATCCAGCTTTAAACATACCAGTACACTGTAGTCCAGGGGTGTCAAACTGCCGGCCCGTGGGCAGATGCGTCATCCGGAAGCCGCGCCCGCCCCATTGCCAGCAATGGCAAAACTCTCCCAATACGTTGTGCGATGTCATGTGACGTCGCGAGTTTGACATGTCTGCTGTAGTCAGTTAAAATTAGAAGCCATGATAGTAAAACAGAAGGAAGGGGAAACTAAAACACTTTTTCTTAAAATAAAAACATTACATGTCCAGTTGTGCCTCCCTTTATTTTTTTAATTGATTTGATTTAATAAAAAATGCAGTGCCAAACAATATAAGAAGATCATGGGATATTATCTATTATACATTAAAAGTAAATCTCTTTATAATCAGTAAAAAAAGGCATATTTAAAATCAGAGACTATAACTAGCGAAGTGAGATAAGAGTACTGTTACAAAATATCTAATGAATGTTACAATTATAATAAATGCATCAAAATGCTATTGTGCTTTGAAGGTGGGTTAATGTTTTGGAATGAACTTCCCAAAAATAAGAATCAATAATGCAAGATCCCCCAGATATTAATGAGAGAATTCTATTGCTTTGTGTTCACACTTTCTACAGTTGTTTGTATGGTGAATGTTTTATAAAGATATGTTTTCCTGCATATCTCTTTCAGTTTGAAGGGAGAAAATATTGTGAGCATGACTTCCAGATGCTATTTGCACCATGCTGTGGGGAATGTGGTAAGTTTTCCACATAAATGATTCAAATCTAATTTTGTCTTTTTATTAATAATATTTGTAAACCATCTAATTATGAGATCCTGGGTGTTCTATAACCATTAACTTATTAAGGGGAGGCAATAGAGAGCAAATTAAGAAGAAAGTATTGTAATTTTTTGACAACTTCACTGGTCATAGGTAGGAACAAAAGTCATACATGGAAAATTATACATTTTTTTTAAAGAAAATCCTGACATTCAGAACTTTATAGTCTTTGTGGTTCAGTGAAATAGATATTAGTTCTGTATCTAACAAACCTGGATTTGTCTCAGTGGCCTTGAGCAGGTTAGTCTTACTCTTAGATTTCTCATTGCTGTAATAAAGCAGACTACAAAATGCTTTCAAAACTTTTTGCTACTTAACTACTACTATGGAATGCTAAGGAGCAGGGAGTCTTCTGAATTGAAATAAAGTTATGAAGTGTGGTATTTCTGTTTCAAGGTGAATTCATCATTGGCCGAGTCATCAAAGCAATGAACAATAATTGGCATCCTGAATGCTTTTGTTGTGAACTCTGTGATGTGGTTCTTGCTGATTTGGGTTTTGTGAAGAACGCTGGCAGGTAAGAATAGATAGAACGATGTCTGTATTTTATATGTTAAATATTAGCAGTTGATGAGATAGGCACAAAAGGTAAATATGAAGTTGAATGCATTATATAAACTAGTGATAAGTTATGGAAAGGAAGGTATGTCTCCAAAAAGTCTGGAGAACGAATGCATTGGCAGCCATTTTCAAAATGGTAATTCTTTTAGCTAGGAAGTAGCTAAGTGTCTGTATAAATACAGTTATATTAAGATGGACAATACTTACCAACAATGTTGTTGGATAGACAGAATTTTGTACCAATATAAACAAAATTGCTTTATTCTCCTTTTGAATGTATTTCCAGTTATGTAAGAAATATAACAGTTTGTAAATATACATTTTAAGTACAAATGAGACTATAAAGAATGTAAAAGTAAAAAAACAATAAATGGAAAAATTATTTGGAAAAACAAAATAGAATAGCCTCAAAATACATGCAGCAACTTTCAGTTTTCTAACCTATTCTTAGCATTTATATTATTTTCCTTAATGAAAATAATTATTGGAAATTAAATGTTTTATTTGTTTGTAAATTCTGTGAATCTATCTTTATGTTTTATATTTGTTCTATTATATTGGCTAAGGAAATTTGCAATTTTTAAATTAAAAAGATTTTTTAGAAAAATTAAAGGCAGTCCTTGTGCTTTTCCTTTAGTAGATACTATGTATTTGTGGTCACAGCATACTTCAATTTAGAAAACAGTTAGAATTGAACTGCTAAAAGGCAAATGGGAGGATTCTATATTGTTTCAGCTAAACATTTAGCTTGTATGTGCATATGTTATAAACATAATGGAAAACATCAAAACTTATAAGTTGCACAGTATAAAGTTGACTAGAATCTGATATGTAGAAAGGTAATAAACATGATAGCCCACACTTGTGATAGAACTGCAGTAAAGTTATATTGGCAAAGTAAAGCAGGTAGCTGTACAAGAGCAGTTGCTCCAGCTTCAGATAATCCTTGTTCTAAGACACTATGGTAGATGCAGTCTACATTAAGTAGGGCTAAGTGCCCAGCTAGACTTACATCTTAAATTATTAAACTGAATTAAGTTAATGATTTGTAGCAAGCTGTCTAAGAATTCATTAACCCTATTCAGTCATATAAGAATCTGTACATAAAATGTGATTTGTGCATTCACTGCTATTGAAAATAGTATCTACAGCCAAAGCTATAATTAAAAGGAACACTTTGTTCAAATATGATGTTTGTAATTTATTCATCTTGAGGTATAGCAAAAAGAATCTGTAGCTTTTTGATTCTTTTGCAACTATGGTGGGAGAATTATAAAGATTGTTTAAAACTAAACCCCATATTCATAAACCTCTCAAAAGTTTGCATTGTAGATGTAAAGAGGCATGTGGTACAGTGGTTAGAATGCAATACTGCAGGCCATTTCTGCTGACTGCCGAGTGTCAGCAGTTCAGCAATTCGATTCTGACTGGCTCAAGGTTGACTCAGCCTTCCATCCTTCCGAGGTCGGTAAAATGAGGACCCAGATTCTTGGGGAAAATATGCTGATTCTGCAAACCACTTAGAGAGGACTGTAAAGCACAGTGAACTGGTATATAAGTCTAAGTGCTATTGCTAAGTGCTATTGCTAAATGTTAAACAACTTTGGGATGAATTCCTGTTATATTGTAGACTGCACAAAATAAGATTTGGACAGCTCCTGAATATTACTAAAACTTCTCTATTCACTGTTTGAATATATTAAAAGGTCTATTCTTTCATCATCTATGAAAATTTATTTCCTGGTGAAGTTACTAAACTTTTGTTCACTGAAATTTCAATCTATATCCTAATGGAATTATTACTTGCTACTATTTGCTATGCAAAAATTATCACAAGATTCATAATTTCACACAACCTGATCTGATTCCTGAAATGATGATAAGGTAAAGCTGCCTCTTAATTTTCTGTAGAACCAGATTATGCTTATGAAAAATCTATTGGTGATATTTCCACTGACAGTAACACTCAAAAGAGTATTCCAGGAAATCAACAGAACTATGTTTCCTGATAGTACCTGTAACTCTTATCTTTGTAATTTTCCTCACCCACCCATCCCCCAAAACCCTTAAAAATGCTAGGTAGAAGGCAAAAAAAAAAGGGAGATACTATCCATCCTGGCCAACGGAATAGAGGGCTTTGGAAATAGCACCATTTACCACCTCAGTCCCCCTTTCCAATTAGGATTGTTGTATATGCTGTTGTTTCCTTAACAATTAAATATTAGATCTTGTGTTTTTGTAGAAAAGCTGTTCTACTTTCTAGGCGATCAAATCGTGCTGGGCAGCAAACGTTTGTTAAGGAAGTACTTTGTTTTGGGGTATTTACAGTTCAGATTTAGCACTTAAAGAGCTGTCGTTTGTTTTCCCATCATAACTTGAAGGTAATCTTGCAACTCTTTTGCTGCAAAACAAATCACACAAGGCCTCTTGAAACTTTTCAGCAACAAAAAAATACATGATCGGATCTAGGGCACCATTTAAGCTGGTGAGGCATGAAGTAATGCGATTGCCAAGTGCCAGGATCCTCTGCGTTGCACAAGACGTTTTCACACCATCATAATTGAGGATATAAATATAGCGGTTGACATGATAGGGCACAAAGCAGACCAAGAAGATCGTAAGAACCATGATTATCATTTTGATGGCTTTTTCCTTTAGATGATTTTCAATGCGGTGCCCCTTCTTCAGGCTTCGTATGATCAGTAAATAGCAGGTTACTGTAGTGAAAAATGGAAAAGTGAATGCAACAGCCAGTGATACAAGAGCATGGCGTGATGCTTTCTCTCTGTAGAGTTGGAGGCAGATGGTGGTATTATTCATCTCAACTGTCTGCACACTGATCAAAAGAGGTGCCATGGCCACGGCAACTATAACCCACAGGAAGGCACAGGTCAAATGAGCATAGAGTGACCTGCGGAGCTTCAGGGACTTCACAGGATACACGATAGCTAAGAAGCGATCTATGCTGATGCACATGAGGAAGTAGATGCTTGCATACATGTTGAGGTAGAAAAGGAACCCTGTGAGTCGGCAAGGGAGCTCTCCAAATGGCCAGTGATTGCCTGAAAAGTGGTAGACCAACCGAGTTGGCAAAATGAGCACAAAAGACAGATCGGCTACAGCAAGATGCATCAGGAAAACGTTGGCAGGGGTATCTGATTTTTGGTCCCGAATGAAGAGCCAGAGTGCCAAAACATTGCCCAGAAAGGCTAGGATGAAATCGAGAAGATAGAAAATAGCAAAAAGGATGTTTTCCATGTGACTCTCTTTGCCACATTGCTCTGAATTTGACAGGGAAATGTTGAATAACAGGCCTGAAGAGTCTGCTTGGCTGTTCATTCCTCACAACTGGTCTTCAATCTGAACCTGAAATACCATATAAACAAACATGGATGAAAATATTACAATGCCAAGAAATCTGTGTTTTATTATTTATTATATGAACTATCAAAATTTGCTGTTTGCTTTCCTTGCTATTGGATGTTGATTAGGTTTTGTCTGATAACCCCGTCACCAGACTTTTGAAAAAGCCATCTCCAGATAATCAGATAATCTAGAATTAGATGCATAAACAAAAACATTATATATGGGCATATGAATCCTGGCTATTCTTTTTATAAACTATGCATGCAAATTAGGTACAATTCTGGGAGAGGATGTTCTACTGTTAAATTTTTCGGTTAGCCATATTTCAATTAATTGCTCTACTTGTCATAAATACACAACTCTAATTATCCCTATACGTAACATGCAATATTATATTATGCGTGTGTGTGTGTGTGTGTGTGTGTGTGTGGTGTACACATTCAGTTGCAGTTCCACAGAAGTGGTATATACTGTGCATTGCATGCACCATTTGCTTGATTTAAAGTGCTTTGTAGACAGAGGTTTGCAAATAAAAGCGATATAAATACTGGAAAAGCTTCTGTTCCATGGTTAATCTCATTCAAGTCTTTAGATATAATGAAAAGCATAGAAATCATATAAATGAAAAATTCAGCATTATTTGGATATAATTCTAATATTCTTGGAACATAAACAAGTATTAATTTTGCAACTTGACCACAGAGTATTCCAGATGCTTCAAAAAAATATAAAATAAAGGATTTCCTCTACAGCAAAAAGGTAAATACTACTTTATATCTTAAAGAAGCTTAACAAACATTTCCAAGTTCCAGGCATGCAGCAGATTGTCTTTTGTTTGTATTCAATTCTCTAGTTTATTAAGGGAATCATAACTATTTGTCTTAAAAAAATACATTTGAAATCACAGCTACTTCTATTTTCTTAGAACAGCAAAGCTTTTCATTTTTCATCTAAAGTTATACTTTTATGAGTATTATGAACATTAAAAAATAAACTTATATCATTTTGTTGTAACGGTGGTAATTCATTTATAAATGTAATATTTAATCAACAATCTCCCACCTATTACATATATATTATACTATATGCTATAATCTAGTAATATTAAGTAGAACGCCCAACTGTGTTCTTAACATTATAGGCAACAATTCTTGAACAGTACTAATAGAAACCGTTCATTTGGAACCACCAATACAAGTTAGGAGATGCTGTATTTTCTAGGCTAATAAATGTTGTTGACCCTGATACCAAAGCTCTTACCTCTTGCAGTTTGCTTGCAGTCTGATCAAGTTGTGACGAAAACCTTTGAGCTCTTTATGACGCCAGCAAATTTAGAAAAGAGAACACCGCTGTAAAAAGTTCCATCAGAGGTTGACTTTAGGAAATTCAGTGAAAAGGGAGCTGCACTATATAGACTTCTGCTAGGTGTGATTGTCCTTTATCATCTTGCTCACAGAAGAGGGGGGAGATAACATGCCTGTTGTGAAAGACAGTCTTAATTCCAGCTAAGCTGTTGGAGGAGGGAGTTACTAATTGTTATTGTATTTATGAATATTCCAATGTTTTCCCTGCTCATTAAAACCTCTCTCTTTGGACCTCTGCCTTTTACACTGTCCCTTTGGAGTCCTCTGGCTGCCTTAGAGGTCTTGGAGAGTATTGCAGAAGGGGAGGGGAAAATCTAGTGCTACAGACACAACAGGACGTTTCAGAAAGGGATAATTCCATAATGGTGGGAATGCGAGTGAGAAGGACGGCTACCATAGTAACGGCTTTGTGATTCTAGGACCTCCCTTTGCTTTGCACTGGACAAGGATCTATAGGATAGTAGACAGGGCTTCCAAATGAGCCGGGCTGCTAATGGTTTATCAGTGGAAAGGGCTGAAGGCCCCTTATTCAGTAAAATGGGAGGGTATTCTTCTTAGGACACTTGCAGTAGGGTCTCTATGCCTTGCCCTGTATAATTAGACTTCATTCCACAGAGAGGAATAAAATTGATGCCTTTATCCTGAGAGCAACACAGCTGCATACTCCCATTTATAAAGGGACGCTGTCTGCTTTCTTTCAGTGAACTGTAGCTCTTGTCTTAGTATCTTCGGCTTTGGGGAGGAAGAGCAGAGAAGACTTGTGAAGCAAGTGTGCTAATAACATTCCTTTCCACTTATGCTGACTGGGCTTTCTATTGGAGGATTGTAAGGAACACAAGATCCACAGTGGCCTCATGGAACTGAGATTTATTATTAGCTCCTTTCTATTGATAAGGACCTAGAGGCCAAATGACCTTGCTTGGATCTTTCAGGAAGCCTGGGAGACTGTGCCATTAATTTGAGTTGCTTGGCTCTTTTCTAATCGATTTTTGCACCGTTTATCAATTAGCTTTTCATGTTATCTGTGCATTCAGTCCCATAAATGAACAAAATAGAGCATGTTCTATATGGGGAAAATTGCAAAATTAAATGTAAATGCATTTGTGTGTACTTGTGTATTTGAAATTTCCCAACTTTTTTAAAACCATAAGTAGATAGAAAATAATACTGACATTTACCTAAACCACTTCAGTGTTGATGTCATTCATGCAATAACACACAAGTTCCAAACATGGTTTATTAATTAATGTTTTTATTAAGATTCAGAAGCTCTGAAGTCTAACGAGAAATTTGTTTGTAAATTACTGTTATTTGAATGATGTCTCTCAACATTTCTCTTTCCAACTGCATTTTAGACACCTTTGTCGGCCTTGCCACAATCGTGAGAAAGCCAAAGGCTTGGGCAAATATATTTGCCAGAAATGCCACTTGATAATTGATGAACAGCCTCTTATGTTCAGGAATGACTCCTATCATCCGGATCATTTCAGCTGCACCCACTGTGGGTATGTTGGCCATGTGCTAAGTTGTTATAAATCTCCTTTTACATAGTAAATTATTGAACTGAATCTCCTCTGAACATGAATTGCCTATTAAGAAGCTAGATGTAAAGTTTCCAAGGTACAAAATTAATTAAATAAACATTTACAACCGAGAACTCTTCTGAGGTTTAATGGACAGTGGCTCAGTAATGCTGATTATTTCTGATTTCTAAAATAAAAGGGATAAACCAAAGTCTATATTAAAAATATTCTTCCAAAGTATGTGTAAGAATGAATAATGAGTTAAAGGAAATCTAAGTATATTTATATTTAAGAACTTTTCCCCTTTTCATGTTTGGTAAGTTCCTGTTTTAGATTATGTAGTGACTACTAGCACATACTATCTGGGACAAATATTGGTCCCAAAGTCTTAACTACTAATGTTGTTGTATAGGAAGGAATTGACTGCTGATGCCAGGGAGCTGAAAGGAGAGCTCTACTGCCTGCCATGCCATGATAAGATGGGCATTCCAATCTGTGGGGCTTGTCGGCGGCCTATTGAGGGTCGAGTGGTCAATGCTCTAGGAAAACAATGGCACGTTGAGGTGAGAACTTCCCCAATCTGCTGCTTGCTGGAAATCAATATTACCCTTCCATTTTTAATACAACGTGTTTTCCTGATTTAACAAACAGATATTGCCACTGTTTTTCATACACAATACAGTTTTAAATGAAATCAATCTTTATTTTGCATTTAGCTAGATTTGTAGCCTGTCTTGCCCCAAATATATAAATAGTAAAAAAATACATGAAACAATAATAGATGAAACTGTTTCCTGCCTTAAAAAATAAATTTATTAATATATTAGGTCAGGAAAATTGTGACCCTCCAAGTCGTGTTGAATTGTTTCCAGGATGATCCATGATTAAGGATAGGAGGAGGAGGAGTTTAAAAACATCTGAAAGACCACAATTATTATTATTTTTTAAATCCTGTTACTAAAATCTTACAATAAAAACTATGAATAGTCTTCCAACATTTCAAGACAGGATGGCTGTAATGAATCTTTCTTTGTCTTTTGAAAGATAAGTATTGTACAGCAAGTACAAATAAGTACAAATGTTAACCTCAGTAGGACAGTCAGGGAGAAAAATTAACTCATCTTCGTCAATTATATCAAGATATTTCATAGCTTTATAGAATGTCAGATTAAAATGAGATTGAAAAGCAACTAGAATCAAAGGAAATGCTGCAACATATGTACAATATGATTCTGTCATTGATACTACATTAGAAGACATGGTTCTAGACCATAAGTTACTGGTTGTACTGACTTTTATATACTGTTTTAAATGATGTAATTCAAATTTTATGGTACAATACATATTTGATGAATAGATCCAAAATATTTTTAATATTTTAAGAGAATATTATGAATATTGTTTTGATATGTTTTGATATCAAGGTATTTCATCTTGCTAGTGGTTCTGACAATCCAGTGTAGAAATATTACTAAATAAAAAAGCAAATGTCTAAAGAAAAGACAATATTCCTACCTTATAACCAACAGATAGTTACTTAGGATTGCTGGGGTAACAATGACTCAAAAGGTGCAATTGTGAACATGTTTAGAAGTACTAGAATTCAAGTTCAGCACAAATATGAGTGTTATTGGGAATGTTAGTTTCATATGAAATTTGACATTCCACTACTAATTCTATATAATAAAGGTGACATAGGATTCTGGAGTGAAACACGGCACATTTTATTGCAGAGTTTGATTCTGGAATATATAATTCCCATTTCTTCTTAGCTATTTGCTATAATTTAGAAATCAGTATGCAGTAGCATAAAAATGAAATATATTCAAAGGTGGTACTTTCTTAGACCATTGTTTCTAGTCCAGCATTATTTGAAAGTATCAGCACTTCCACAACAACATCCCCTTGGAGGAGGTGACTATATACAAAACAATGAAATAACGTGAGCTTGGTATCTCTGGTTTTGCTTTTTTACCATACAAACTCCATAACAAATGTTATGTCATGTCTGACATAACTTCTTTGATAATGACTCTTTGACATAACATGTCCTTTTCACTTTATAGCACTTTGTTTGTGCCAAATGTGAGAAGCCATTCCTAGGACACCGGCATTATGAGAAAAAGGGTCTGGCTTACTGTGAGACTCATTACAATCAGGTAAAGTCTACTGTCGTTTATAAGATATTTTGTTTCTCTTTTTATTTTATTTTATTTTTCTTCTTTTTTGACAGGGGAAACAAGGCATAATGTTTTTCTGTAAGATACAAATTTTGAATGAGAGAATTTTTAAAAAGATAAAATTTAAAGATATGGTAGATATACTAGTCTTAATAAGTACTTAATGTCTAGGAATACTTTGCACTTGGGATGGAAATGCAAATCAAATTGTCTCTAGCTTGGCTAACCATAAATAGCCATTCATAAGTATGGAACAGAATGAAGGGCAGAAAAAAGAGAAGTCAGTGCCAAGAGTTTCCTAGTTGGAATTTACTGGAAGAAAACATCATGTCTTGCAGTGGAAAATAAGGCATAATTTATTGTTTGTTGTAAGCTAGACTGCTGAAAGAAATAGATTATTTTTCACTGTGCTGTGCACAATGCTCCTTATAAAGAAACAAAAAGGTGCTTTAAAAACAACCCAGGTTTCCACAGCTTTCTCAAAGGAAACTGATCAGTAGCACTGCTCAGTTACAAGAGAATCTGTAGTCTGGGGAAATTCTCTAGGAATCTTTCATTGCTCTATGGCAGTGGGCCCTAACCTTTTGGGCACCAGGAACCGCTTACGTGGAGAGAGGTTTTTCTGTGGACCAGAGGCGGCGTGGTTACATGTGCTGTCTGTATCCCGCAAATGGACCTTTGCTTGTTCGCGCGGCCCTGTTTCTGGCATGCTGTGGACTAGTGCTGGTCCATGGAGCAGGAGATGGGTACTCCTGTTCTATGGTGCACCACTGCACTGGAAGACCAGGATCTCAAAGAGGCTTGCTGTCTTTTTTTAAAGGGCACATGGAGTTCCCTTTCTTCTCATTTCACATTGTGCAAATTCTTCAGAACTGCATTTCAGATTAGGGGTTGAAGTTGAGGGAAATCTTGTGTTGTTATCTCTTCATCCATTTTTCATTGCCTAGAGCTTATAACAGGCTTTTACTGCACATCAGATCTGCTGTCCTTTCTTTCCTCTACAATACATTGATTTTAGTGGGGCAAATAAACATTAGAAGTATTTAGTGTTTGGGAGGGTCAACCTAGAGATATTTTAAATATTCAACTAAATTAAAAATACAGCTTGTCACACTGATGGAATACTTTCTAATTATAATTTCTAATTATAATTATAATTTCTAGAAAGAGTACAGAGAAGAGCAACAAAGATGATTAGGGGATTGGAGGCTAAAACATATAAGGAATGGTTGCTGGAATTGGGTATGTTTAGTTTAACGAAGAGAAGGACGAGGGGGGACATGATAGCAGTGTTCCAATATCTCAGGGGCTGCCACAAAGAAGAGGGAGTCAAGCTATTCTCCAAGGCGCCTGAAGGCAGGACGAGAAGCAACGGGTGGAAACTAATCAAGGAGAGAAGCAACCTAGAACTAAGGAGAAACTTCCTGACAGTTAGAACAATTAACTAGTGGAACAACCTGCCTCCAGAAGCGGTGAATGTTCCAACACTGGAAGTTTTTAAGAAGAGACTGGACATGCATTTGTCCAAAATGGTGTAGGGTTTCCTGCCTGAGCAGGGGGTTGGACTCGATGACCTCCAAGGTCCCTTCCAACTTTATTATTATTATTATTATTATTATTATTATTATTATTATTATTATTATTATTATTAAGCACTTATCACCAATTGAAGGAGCCTTCCCATGTGATCAAAGGGCCCCTTAACTATAGAATGTATAATTGTTTAGTTTAATCTAAGGTCCTCTCAAACATGAAAGAGATTAACTGTATAACTGAAGTTAGATGAGTTCTTCCAAAGCAACAAGTATAATCCTTATTAGTTTTTAGATATAAACTGGAGAAAAAATAATCTGAACATTATGAAGGAAAACCCTTCAAGCATGTAAATAAACTCTCCTTCCTTCCTCAGATCCTCATCCTCTCTCTTATGGATAGATAAAATCAGAGCAACAGCTTTCAACTTCAAAAAATGCGGTTAAATAAAGCAAAGATTTTGCTCTGATTCTGTACTTTAAAATTGTTTAAGATATGCAGTTTTTAGGAATTAAAACTTGATTCTTTTAAGTTCTGAAAGAAAAGTTGTGAAGGGACTGAAATTCAGAGCAATAACTGAGATCACTCTTCTAGAGGCAGCAATGAATAAACTAAGGGCTGAAACATTCCTTCCTTTGAATGAAAATTATTGCTTTTGTTCTTTTTTTATGCAGCTCTTTGGAGATGTCTGCTACAACTGCAGCCATGTGATCGAGGGGGATGGTAAGCTGTAGACTCTCAATGCACCCATTGCGGCTCTGCATGCACAATTTTCAATGATTCTTTTCAAATCCATCTACTGAATTTGGAACAACGCTATAGTGTGATAACATCCTATTCTTTACTATTTCTCACTAGTGGTATCTGCTCTCAACAAAGCTTGGTGTGTAAACTGCTTCTCCTGTTCTACCTGCAACATCAAGCTCACCTTGAAGTAAGTGGCCAGCAAAGACTAACTCAGAAGGGATTTTCATAAGAAAGGGATTGAAATAAAACAGTAATATCTTTAATGTGGTCCCGCTACACGTGGAATACTTTGTCGGGTGCTGATATAACAGAACTGAGCATCTCAAATGCTTGGTGGGCTTGAATCATTTCTCTGAGTATGGGATGCTTTAGCTTGGAACAGAGGCTAACAATAAAGTCTAAAAAGTCATTTATGCTATGAAGAAAGTGAAGAGGAAGCTATTTTATCACCCTCCCTTTTTCAAAACGTTAGGACCAGTATCACCCAGTGAAGTTGCCTGAAAGGAGATTTAGAACAGGCAAAGGAAAGCTATTCTTTATATATTATGCAATTAACCTATGGAATGTATTGCCTCTAGACCTGATGATAGCTACTAACTTAAATAACTTTAAAAAGAAATGATAAATCCAGAGAGGATGAAGGGCTTTTAGTATTCAGTTGTATCTCTGATTTGAAATCAGCCTCCCTCCAAATAGCATTTGCAGCAATAACACTAGAAACAGATGTATTTCCATCTCCTACTTGCAGTCATTTAGAGGATGACTGGTTGACCACCAAGTAAAACCAAAACTCTGACCCAGCAGACTTACTCTTCTTGTAGGCCCAAAGGACCAACTACAAAGATTGCCACAATAACATAGCTGAAATAATTGCTTATCTGTCAAGAACACATTGTAACAGCAAAGGGGAAAAAACCATGATTAATTAGAAAAACTCTATGTAAGGAGGTTTCCCTGGATAAGGCCAAAATAGCAATCAATGAATTGTTTCTTTTAAATATATAAGAATTACAGTATTAAGTTTGTCCTTCATAGCAAAGGGTTCTCTGCTGCTCCCAAGAGTGTAGAATCAATGGACCACAGGAGAAACATAAGAATTATAACAGAATTGGAAGGGACCTTGGAGATCTTCTAATCCAACCCCCTGCTCAAGCAGGAAACCCTATACCAGTGGTGGTGAACCTATGGCATGGGTGCCAGAGGCGGCAATCAGAGCCCTCTCTGATTGCACGTGCACCATGCCCTGGAGATGGCAACTGTCCCTCTTCAACCAGCCGCCCGCTAACTTGCCAAGGTCCCACGTGGCCAGATGCATCCCAGCTGGTTTCCCTCCCCCCATCCCATCCCTCCTGGCCTCGCATGCTCTCCTTTTCCTGGGCACGACCCACTGCATCGCCTCCTCAGCTGTCGGCTGGCCATCCAACTCAGAGGCAGCTTCTCTGAACTACTGGTGGCAGGCTGCGGAGCCCCAGAGTGTGCCGGTCAAGGGGCCAGCAGGCTGTGGCTGCTGACGGACACTGTCGGCCCCCATGCACTTGCTGGCCTCTGTGTGCAGGGGCTGATGGTGTCAGGCAGCAGCCACCCCGGCCTCTGCTTCGCCATGCCCTGCGACAATGGCACCCCCGCCCTGCCTCGCCTTGCCTCGCCTCACCCCACAGGACGAGCCTCCTGCCCACCGCCCCACCTGCCAGAGACCCCCTGGATTTCCCCCAACCCTGTCCGGCCCCCACAGGCATCCCTCCCCACGAGCAACATCGAGGTGACCACACCCACCCAGTCTGCCATGACCACCACAACCACATCCACCCAGTGGGCCACGACCACCTGGCACCAGGCGATAAATAAGTGGGTTTTGGGTTGCAGTTTGGGCACTCGGTCTCTAAAAGGTTCGCCATCACTGCCCTATACCATTTCAAACAAATGGTGACTTAAAAACCTCCAGAGTTGGAGCACCACAACTTCTGGAGGCAAGTTCCACTGATTAATTATTCTAACTGGCTGGAAATTTCTCCTTAGTTCTAGGTTGCTTCTCCACTTGATTAGTTTCCATCCATTGCTTCTTGTGCTGACTTCAGGTGCTTTGGAGAGTAGGTCGTCTTTGTGGCAGCCCCTTAGATATTGAAACATTGCTATCATGTCACACCTAGTACTTCTTTTCATTAAACTAGTCATATTCCTGCAACTATTTTTCATTTGTTCTAGCCTCCAGCCCCCTAATTATTACAAGAATTATTATTAAGTACATAATAAAACTAAACATATCTAACAGTGTTGCAGATACCAATAGTATCTTATGCTTGGATAGTCACTTAAGTATTCTATTTTAAACCATAGGTTGAACGAGGCACTTATTTGTATGTAGATTTACTACCAGGACTTTGGAGAATTTTGCCCCTTAACAGTAACTATAGGGAAAATGTACCTCACATCTTCCCTACTTAGTTTTCAAGCCCAACATGACTTTCTGAGTAGAATTTATTGGTAATGTATTTCTTTCAAAGGAATAAGTTTGTCGAATTTGACATGAAGCCAGTGTGCAAGAAATGCTATGAGAAGTTCCCTTTGGAGCTGAAGAAAAGGCTGAAGAAGTTGTCTGAGCTGACCTCCAAGAAAACACAACCCAAAGCTCTGGATCTGAATTCTGCTTAAACAGGCCTCTGCTTCCTTCACACTACACTCTTCTTCCCCAGTAGCAGTCATCCAAGATTGGTTAAAGGGCCCAAGACACACACAGCCTCACCAGTTGCATCTAATCAGCTAAATGTTTTCTGCTCAGGTATAGTGCACAGAGTCTGGCCTTTGGGGGGGGGGAGCTGTGAACATGCACTATTTTCCTTTTGTTGTAACTGTGTTTTGTGATTTTTTTTTCATTTTTCAGTATTAAGAGAGCCAGATTTATACTATATGTCATAGTATTCTATGAATTGTTAAAGTAAGATGTAGAAGTGGGAGATAGATAACATTGTACCCTTTGTGAACATTATCTTAAAATGGCAAGGGACTAATAATTAAATAGTGAACTAACAATTTCAGTTAAGCCATTATGACAACGTGATAAATCTACACTGGTTTTATTAGATGGCTGTCCATATCACTGTAATGGTGAAGCTTGATATGTTTTCTTTTACCAACCAAATATTTCAGCTGCTGAAACAGATACTAATGCTTAAGCTAAACTTCCTATCTATTATACATTTTCTCACATTAGAAACAGCAGAAAGTAAGACCTGAATGGACCAAAAGAATTTAGCTAGAAACCTCTACTTTTTGAGATATGCTGTCTCAGGCAAACATAGCTAGAATCGGTGATTATTCTGTTAGCAAGAAGGTTTTGTGAATATCAGTTGGTGTAATCCATATGCTACACTTTACAATTGCTCTTCATTTCTTTATGATTCTGCTAATGCCATTCCAAATAACCTACACTGTATGGTATTATAGCAATACTTTGGGTTTTCCATTTTGAACCCAAATAGTCTGTTTTTGTAATATTGCACCATAATACTTGTGTTCTTATGATCAGAACATGAAATGGAGCAGAATGATTAGTGCGGAGTAAGATGCTTATTTGGTAAACTTGGTTTCTCTTCAGTAATTATAGTAAAGATGTATATTATCTCCTACTTGGTTTATTATTAGCAATTGTGATTGGCACAAGAGAGGTCATTTTTTTATCTGAAATCATACTTTTCAGTATAATGGAAAAGGAAGAAATGCACAAGGATTAGCATATTTTTTTTATAAATAGATTTAGAGCAGTAAGCACATTCTCATTAAATGAATCACTTTCATCAAGACCTTCCTATGTGATCTAGTAATACTGTATATTTGAGCTTATGTGTCCATTTAAGCAAAGTAAACAAAGTATTATGTTTATGTTGTCTGCTCAGTCTATTAAAATGCTACAACATCCTAGAGAAGTATATGAGCACTTGTGCTCCATTTTTGCTAGAGCAGCAGAACTGACTGATTACATTGCTGAAGAACAGTGCACAGGCATAAGCTAGAAGTCAAAACACAGAACACATTAATACTTATATAGCGGTTTAGCTATATAAAATATATAAATGATAAATCAATTTATTGTAGTGATGTCATCCTCTGAGGTCACGTTAGATAAACATTCTTAATCCCTTACTAAAATCGCCTTTAATCACCATAAAATAGACTAGAAGACTGAAGTTGAAGGATTTCCCCCCCCCCCTCAGTGGTGCTATCACAGCTTTCAGCTATTCATGCCACCATCATAACCAGAAGCAAGTCAAAATACCCTGCTGCATTATCCTACCCAGAAAAACATGAATTCTACCTATACAGCCTGATTCTTACAAATACTTACTCCATAGCATACACACAGATATAAACAAGTAGGTGCCATAATGGGACATGTTTCCAGCTCAAGTAATACAAATAGTTCTCAATTTACAAGCACAATTGAGGCTGGATTATAGTCTTTAAACAAGGCACCCATGTGACTGCCTCTCTCAACAATTGCAATGCATGTTCTTTTTGTTGTGGTCGATAAGCAACTGTGTGGGGTGGCCTTAGGGTGTGGAGGCCCAGTGCCCACCAGCACATGGAAATCTGCTACTGGCTGGGAGATGTCAGTTGGCTGGGCCCACCTTGCTCTAGCTTGTACAAGGGCTCCATTTTCATAGTGATTCAGAAGGCTCCTTCTGCTAATTGCAAGACTCAGAGAAGGAGTCTAAATTGTGCATAGTGAGAACAATAGCATTTGCTAGCATTTTCTCCTCTGGAGAGGAAAATGCTAGCAAAGCCAGAGCTCTGAGACTCAGTGTTCTGAAACTTTCAGACCATTAACAAAGCTGACTTTCTGAAAGGCTGTGAGCCTGAACATTTGCTAGCATTTTTACCAGATCTGAGCTCCATTCCTCCAGTGTGGGGGAGGATTTCCCTTCCCTACACAGAGGGCAGGAAAAGTCCCTCTGGTCACTGGAAGAATAGACCTCAAATCCTCCATTTGCAATCTTTCTTGCCAGCTTTCCCCATTGACTTTCTGAGGAAGCCAGCAAAGAAGATTGCAAATGGCAATCACATGATCACAAGGCACTTGGCAGTTGGTCATAAATGTAAACAGGTTGCCAAGTGTGCAAAATGCAGTCATGTGACAAGAATGAAAGTGGTGCAATGTTTTACAAGTGCTTGTAAAGTGTTTTTACAGGCCATAAAGTATACGTTCCATTTGCCATTGTGACTGAATGATTATTAAACAAATAGTCATAAGTTGAAGACTATCTGTGGTAACTTCTTCAGTGATCATAAAGATATAAACGTGACCAGTACATGACAGATTTTGCTGTTAAATGCAATCGAACAGGTTCATATTATTTTATTCAATATCTTGAATGTAGATGCACCATACTTGCTTGCACTATATTCTTAAAATAAAATATTTTTTTCATATTTTATGTGCACTTCCTTCATATAAATTTATAAATGATTCCTGAAGTTAGCAAATAACTCTAATATTAAATGCACAGTTACTAACCACTGTAACATACTAACCCATTAGCCACTTCAATGTATAAGATTTGATGGAGTGTTTTCATTCAACATACTAATTATTTTTCAATGTATGGATGTAAAACTTTTAATAAAATGTGCACACACAATATTTTTACTCTGTACTTTTCTCTATCAAAAATTCCTGCTGGGTTAAAATATTGTAATTACTTTCTATAGTTGGAATGATAAGCACAGCTATGTATCTTTTAAACATAACATTAAAAACTATTTTACAAGTCATGTGTACCTAACTGTATTGCTTTTATTTCTATTAGGATTCTGTCTGTTTAATAGAAATCATTGTCATAGTGATATTTCATTCTAATGCATCTTTCTCCATATATAATATTCAATTATTATGCAAAATATTTTCCTTTCCAGTAAAATATGCTTTCATTCAATTAGGACTGATTATACAGTATTATGGTTGGTTACACAATCAGCCAGATGTTTAGACTGGATTTTTATCTACCTATCAAGTCCTTCCCAAGGACCTGGAATAGGCAGATGTTTGATGATGTTAAAGGTATGGTCACAGGATGTAAACGGTTCCAAGTAAAGTTACTTTTTGCAATTGATTGATGGTGATTTTATCAATGCCAATAGCATTCAAGTGGTGCTCCAGATATTTTGGGATCTCATCCGATGGGTATTGGTACTGTCTTGGTTTCTTTTGCCAGTTATTCTACTTCTACTTGCAGCTCTTTATATTTTGTGATTTTCTCCAGTTGTCTTCTATTTCGCTGTTTCCAGGTACTGCAATGTCCACTATCTAGACTTTTCTTTCTTAAAACAATTGTTAAATCTGGGGGGTTTTGTGGCATGTTCTTGTCTGTTTGAATTCTAAAGTCCCAGAACACTTTAATTTCTTTGTTTTCTTTTAGTTTACTTTGTGGTCCCACCAGTTCCTGCTTACAGGCATTTGTTGTCTGTTGCTGTCCCCAATTCTGGCTTTATGTGCATTCGTTCTTAAGACTTGGTCCTATGCAATCAGAATTAGCATCTCTCATTCAATGTTCTTGCTCTTAGCCATTGCCAGGAGTTGTTACTTACTTACCCTGTTCCTTTTTTTGTACTGGCCATGTAATACTTTGCCGTCTTTTCTGTTCTTCATTTGGTCTTTCCTGTAGGCCCATTGGGACTCTCAGGTATTCAGTAAGCTTTCATGGTATACTAGCTTCAATGCATCTTCTTCACTGTCCTTTAAATATTCTTCCAATGCCCATTTTTCTTCTTCAACTGTTTGATGTACTTAACAACATTCCACACCTGTATGTACTTCTTATTGAATAAAGTCTATTAACATCCCTGCGTGGATGAAGGGCATAATTTGTTATCATTATGTTTTTGGTCTTCATATCCAGGGCTTTTAGTTCTGCTTGAGTCCAGTCCACTTATCCAGCTGGCATTGCTCAGGTGTTAATTGCCTTGATAGCATTTCCTCCACTGAGGAAAACTTTAAGCTCTTCTTTACTCTCATGATGTATTTAGTTCCAATCTTCTTGACTTCAGCGTACATGAGGCATACAGCTTGAAGTATGCCCAGGTATTTGTAGTGATCTTATTCATCCAGACTCTTGATATTATTTTCATAGGGTAAGTTCATTTCTTCAGTTTTCACTGTTTTCCCCCCTTGATGGTAACCAACAGCTACTGCCGTCCTTGTTGACCCTGGTTATAATTAATCCAATACGGGTTTCTGCAAATTATGTCTCACCATATTGCTTATGAGAGAGACTCTTTATCTGATTCCTATGATGATGATTACTCATCTCTGCATACTATAACAGTAAGATTAGTTACATTGTAGTTACTAATAAGCATCCTGAATTTTTAAACTATGTTGCTTAATAATATTCCACAGGCCTCTAATAGCCACCACATAATTTGTCTCCTCTTGATGGATCCAGCATTTCTTCCTAAACAACAGTAATATGTTTTTCTATTAGAAATAGATATATTCCCAATTATAGCATTGATTTTTTTCCAGTTTTGAATGTAGTACTATTCTCCATAACTGTGAGAGTCTTCCAGATAAATTGTAGCATCTACTTTATGATAGATCTGTAACAAATAGCCATCATATTCACAACCTCTGATTAGGGCATAAAAAGTACATTCACTTTAAGTAACAACTTGTCCTATATTTTATTACCTACTATATCATACATTGATTGCTACAGCTATTAATGTGTTTAACTTCTATTCTGCCACAGCCATCCTTTGATCTAGTCAGAATCATTAAGGAGTTTGATAAATGCAAATTATGATAGATTATTCAGGAATTTATTTGGTTTATACAGTATTTGACTTAGTACCATATATTTCTGGAAGAAATGGAACTGCATGTATTATGCATTTGTGTTTTAAAATGGAGAAAATATTTGGAGCATATACTTAACATAAAACAAATATACAAAATATATTGAATTGCAACATAATGTGGATTTACATTTAGAATTCAGAAAATCTGCAGTATAGTCCTTGTCATCTTGATCTTGCTAATTTCACAGCAAACAGTATCAGCAACAGACATAGCTCATAAAATATATTTATGCTCATTTTTAAAAAAAAGTATTTAAAAAATATGGAATTTCACTTACACAGAAATATTACTACTCTATCATACATAGGTCTAGGACAGCGGTTCTCAACCTATGGGTCGCGACCCCATTTGGGGTTGATCGACCATTTCACGGGGGTCGCCAAGCAAGGCTGTCCGCCATTTTTTTTCCCTTTTCCGGCAGATGCCTTACCTCCCTTGAGCTGGGCCAGCTGGTGGTCGGCCTGCTCCGTCTCTGCAGGGGGCGGAACCACGCATGCGCGGTGCTCCCAGGCAGAGAAAGTCCTCGACTTACGACCGGTTGGGTAGTCCTCGAGTTATGACCGGTTTAGTCCTCGACTTATGACCGGTTTAGTCCTCGATTTACGACTGGTTTAGTCCTCGACTTACGACCGGTTGGGGGTCGCGGCATTAAAAAGGTTGAGAACCACTGGTCTAGGACAACTGGTGCGGCTATCTCACTGCCATCAGCTTGCCGAGTTGCCTCTGCCAACTCACTGCTGCCAAGTTGCTGCAGGACAACTCCACACAGCCAACTTGCTGTGGGACAGCTCTCTGTGGATGGCCAAGAGAGCCGGGCAGGCGAGCAACGGGTGGGCAAAGCACAAAGTGGTGGTGGCAGCTGGAGATTTCCCATTTTCATAACTCTCACCATGCTGCTATTGCTGTTGCCAAGAGGCCAGAGACAGTGACGGATGTGTGTGTGTGTGTGTGTGTGTGAAAATGGGATAATCCTGGCAGCCACTGCCTCCCTGCTGCCCACTGCAGCCCAGAGTTCGGTGGCAGAAGCAGCAGCAATGGTGGGTGGGTGTGAAAATGGGAAGTCCCTGGCAGCTACTGCCGCTCTGCGCTCTGTCCACCCACTCACTTGCCCGCCCGCCCACACGGCTCTCCATCAGCGGAGAGTTATCCTCCAGCGAGTTGGCCATGTGGAGTTGTCCTGCAGGTGATTTGGCAGAGGCGACCTGGTGGTGAGCTGGCAGCTGTGAGTTGTCCCATTCCAGTCACACATATGCATATGACCATTAATTGCAGAACAGCATACCTTCATCTCAATTGACAAGAGATGGTGTGACTACTTTGGCAAAATAACAGCCCACATGCTGGCCACTATCAATTGCTAAAAATACTTCAAGAACAAGTAAAAATACACTATGATTTTCATAATATGAAATATCTTAGAAAAGAAAATACCATTGTCTCCTCCTATACACAAAACATTATAGTATCAACCATAGATATTAGGTTCCTTGTTCTTACACCAAACTATTCCAAGAAAACAATCATTTCCGCCAAAAGAATTGGTGGCAAAGGGCAAGAAGAACAAAGGCTGTGTTTGGTCAGATCTACAGCTTTGTCAGAAATGATCTGAGAAAGCATAATTTTAGGTATGTTTACATAGGCTGAAATTCCGCTGTGGAAGCTTGTCGAATAGTATACAGATCATAGAAAGCAAGCAAAAAACTAAAATAGTATTTAAAAAAGGACACAACTGCAATTCTCAAACAATAAATACTATGTAAGTTTACAGAACTATTTAAGCAGATTTCAGTCTTCATTCATAATAACATCATGCGAGCATATTCCAGAAATAGGAAAGAGGGGGTGCAACACTGAATCCAGTGGCTTTTTTTTTTAATTTGGAGACTAGTAGGCATATATGACACAGAGGCATGTTTTATCAAGTTCAGGTAGTCCTCAAAAAATGAAATCTTCAACTCATGAGCATGCTGTTTTCTTTCAATGTAATATATTTATAACTAAAAAATAGCAAACATCATTTTGCACTGTACTGCTGATGGCTAGAATACAGTAAGAATGTGATCAATACTTCCAAGGAAGGAGGTTATAATTATTAAAAAGATGGTAGTGTACAAAATCTTGATATGCTGATAGTACAACTTGTAGCCAAACCAGATATGATTAAGTTGCAGCCAGCTAAGACCACGCTTATTTCTGGTATAGCAGCAATTGTATGGTTCTCTTCTCTTTGGTTAAAAAAAAAGCAAAGTAACCAAATCCCATGTCTTTCAAGACAGCAAATATTGCAAATCTGGCACAACCTTTGCATGATGATAGTTGCATCTTCAGACTGGGATATTGGGCCTTTTCTGTTTGTTTACAATGTTCATTAGCAAATGAACATATGATGTCAACAAGTCATCCATTTTGTAACCCTTGGAAAAAAAGCAAAAGAATATTTATAGAGATAAACAGCATCTACATATTAATCAAAACAGACAATCAAAAAACTAAAAAAGAAACAAAAATACCAAAACACCTCATTACCAGCAATCAACACCCAGATGAGCAGATTAGCACCAAGATTAACATTAGACCAACAGTCAAAGAAGTAAACAACAGCCCAATCAAGCAACCACCAAGACCACTCCTACCAACATTGACAGGACAAGCCACTAATACATAGAAAGAGAGCAAACCCCACTCCTTACTAGAATTGATATTACCTAGTTTGATAATGAAACGTCTGCATGGTGAAAGAGCACCAAGGACACCACAGTTCAACCCTGAGCTAGAAATATTCTATCGGTAAAGCAATATTAAATCATCCCTTGGATAGAGTTACAAACATTTTTAATAGTTGAAAGAACATCTTTCCCTATCAATCGATGCAAGCATCCTACTTAAAGTGTTATCTTTGCACAAGCCAGATTTACTGTAAAGGCTAGTCATCTAGCTATTCCTCATAGAGTAATAAACTTAAATATCCTAAAACCAAGAGGAATTTACTCTTCTGACAATCTGGCCCAAAAAGAACATTTTTTCCAATAAGACTTTAGGGGAAATAGGAGAAATTGTCTCTTTCAGAATTTTTGTCTATAATGTAGAATAGGGAAATATTTTCCAAGCCTGAAACCAGATGAACTGAAAATTATTGATGGCTACTTTCCAAAGCTAAGATATTGACTGTTGTGGAAAACCTATCTCCCCTCAATCATTGATTATTTCACAAAAAGGAACTAAACTAATTCCCAAAGACACCCCCACAGGAAGGATCTGCTTCAATGTCTAAGTGTCGCTTCTACTTCTCTACAATGATTCACAAATATACTAGCACAGCTTCAGCACTTACATGAAATGCTACCCAAAAGAAACATCGAAAACTGTATATAGGAATGTGATGAATCAAACATTGTTTCTAGGAAATACAATAATAGACTTCCTGCTCCTTCATGAAATATGTTTAGGAAATGTAGAAATCATGTAGGCTGACAAAGTTTTGCTGGCTGGAAATCAGACATCTTTCTTCCTTCCTTTTTAGCAACCAAGGGACTATACAGTTAATCTTTGATTTACAACCACAATTGGGCTCAAAATTTCTGTTGCTAAATAAGACAGTTGTTAAATGAATTATGCCCCACTTTACAATCTTTCCTGCCACAACAGTTAAGTTAGTAACACAGTCATTAAGTGAATCTGGCTCCCCCATATGACCCTGGGAGAATGCAACAGTCATTCTGTAAATACATGCCAGTTGCCAAATATCTGAATTTTGATCACATGACCATGAAAATCCTGCACTGGTCATAAGTGTGAAAAACGGTCATAGGTTTTTTCAGTGCTATTGTAACTTTGAACAGTCACTAAATGAATTGTTGTAAGAATTACTTGTAGCTGGTCAGTTGTGATGCAATAAAATATTGGCTTGTCAGGCCAAATCTCATACATTTCTGGAGGATTGGGGAAAAGTGTACAGCTTACTTAAAGCTTTCATTTTTTTCTGTCCTTTTATACAGAAAATTAGTAGAAATATTCTTCATAATTTGGTGAGATACCATCAAATTTTAGAGCTGAACAATAAAAAAGGACTAAATGCTATACTACATTATTTTCATTCTCCCTCTCTTTAATGCAAGATGTTAACAAACCTGAAAAGTTCTGTTTCTCTTACCAGAAATGTCTCACAAAGAATTCGATTTCCTCGTACCAGGTTCCCTATCGTCATGTGAAAATACGTGCTGCCACTGCTCCAGTTAGAAATTTTATTGAAGGGATAAAGAGCTAAGATCTCCTGTAGGACAACACAAATCATACCTGTAAGACTGCTATAAAATGAAAAGATCAATATTTTTTTTAAGAAAAAGGGACTTGTGGCTATTTGGGGACATCAGATCAGATACTTCTAAGAAGCAATACTTTCATGAGGTTTTTTTCACATTACTCTGCCAACATCTTTTGATTTAAAATGGATATATTTTTAGGGAGAGCTATCCCTAGACCAGAGTCTTCTAATCATGGATTGACCTTCCTCAGTTGTCACTATTACAATTCAGCTTGGAGGTTCCCTTTCACATGACTAACTTCATTTAGCAATAAGTTTATCATTTCTAGCTTCACCAGATCGAAGTACAAAAATTTGTTATGATTGATTTTATTTTTCTGTGAAAGAAAGCATTTTGGAGAGCCAATCTGAGCAGTAATGATTCAGGCTTCAAAAATTGTTTTATCCAGTATATATTCTCAACAGAAATAACAGCAGAACTGATACATTCACAGCCATGGTCAAACAGTATTTACTTGTAAAAGGTTTAGACCAGGGGTAGGCAACCTCAGCTCTTTTATGACTCATGGACTTCAACTCCCAGAATTCCTGAGTCAGCTATGCTGACTCAGGAATTCTGGGAGTTGAAGTCCATGAGTCATAAAAGAGCCGAGGTTGCCTACCCCTGGTTTAGACTGTCTCAATCTCTCACAATTCTTTACCTAAGAAATGCATTTAATTAATTCTAGCATAAATCAATTGTGTGCACCTTTTCCAGATTATAATTAAGGTTTTTAAAAAGATCTCTTACCTTAGTCTTTGAATGTATTATGGAAATCCCTTGCCTGTTGATAGCAATCAATACTATGTCAGGGAAATTTGGTTCTGATGTTTGCTAGTAAAA